TGTTGGAAGGTGATAAGTGCTCTCAGCAAGAAGAAGGATGTGCCTAGAACTGAGGAAGAAACGTGTACCATCTTGGCACTTTAGCTTTTACTCTGAGTGAAATGGGGAATCATTGGAGGGTTTTAAACAAAGGGAGAGTGTGAGATAACTTGCATTTTAAAAGGATCCCTCTGACTGTGTGAGAATAGACTGTGGGGGCTGGGGGTGGAAATGAGGTAGAAGTAGTGAAACCTGCCAATAGGTAGCTATCACATATAGAGGCTGGGAGCAGGGTAGTAGCAGTGGAGGGGGTAAGAGGGACAGATGTGTTCTGAAGGGATAGCCACCAAGATTAACCACCAATGTATTGGGTAAGAAAGAGATGTCAAGGATGACTTCAAGGTTTCTACCTGAGCAAATATGAAGACTGTAGGTGGAGCAAGCTAGAGAGGGAAGATTGGGAGTTCAGTCTTAGGTGTATTGAGTTTGAGATGTCTATTAGACATACAAGGAAAGATGTTAGAAGGCAGTTGGATATTAATCTGGAGTTTGGGAGTCAGATTTGGCTTAGAGATATTTGGGAGTCAACAGCATACAGATGGTATTTAAGGCCATGTGACTGGTTACGACTGTAAAGAGAATGAGCATACATCCAGAGAAGAGAAGCAAAGGTTGGCCCTGGGGCACACCAACATTCAGAGGCCTAGGAAAATAGAAAGAACCTGGAATAGAGACTGAGAAGGAGCAACTACTAAGACTGATGTAAAAGTGAGCAAGTGTGGTGTCCTGGACACTGTAAAAAAAAGTTTATCAAGGAGAAAGTGGAGATCAACTTTGTTAAATGCTGCTAAATCAAGAAGAGAGGACTGGGAAATGGCCAGTGGATGTAGCAATGTGAAGGTCAGTGGTAACCTTGATGAGAGGAGTTTTGGTACAGTGGTGGTGGGGGGGGCAAAGCTTTATAGGAATAAGTTTGATGGAAATGAGAAGAGAGAAACTAGAGAGACAGAAAAAGAACAAAGAGTTTTGCAGCAAAGGGGAGCAAAGAATCAAAGGGATACCTGGCAGGGAAAGTAGAGCCAAGAGCAAATCTGTATTTGTTTTTTAATGAAAAAAGGGAGAATAGCTCATTCAAGATGTAGGTAGTGGAAGGGTGAAAGGGAAGAATTTCAAGAGCAATGTGCTTAAACAGTCAAGAGGGGATGGCTGGTAGTGCATGAGTGGAGGCATTACATGGGGCATGGAAAGTTCACCTGTGCTTAATAGGAAGGAAAGCACAGTATATCAGCACAGATGCTGGCAAGCTGGAAATGTGGTGGTGGAGGCTGGATGTTCTCTGATTGCTGCAATTTTTTCAGTGAGGTAGGAAACAAGGTCAACAGCTGAGTGCTGGCTCTACTTTCAATATATATCAAAAATTCAACCACTTTCTCAGCACTTCAGCTGCTACGACCTGGTCTCAGCCATCAATTCTCACCCAGATTTTTGAAGCAATCTCCTGATTCATCTTTCTGCTTCTGCCCCACTACAGATGTCCTATTAAAACATAAGTGCAATCATGTCACTCCTCTGCTCCAACCCTCCAATGGTTTCCCATCTTGCTGTGACAAAAGTCAAAGTTGCTGTCTTCTCCCCACCTTCCTTCTGCAGCCTCACCTCCTACTACTCCCCTCCTCACACACTCTGCACCTTCCACATCAACCTTCTTGCTGTCTTTTGAACCCACCAGTCATGACCCTTACACAGGACCTTTGCACATGCTTTTCCCACCATCTTGTATGTTTTCCATGCCTCACTCGTCCATCTTCTACAGGTCTTTACTCAAATGTCCAGCAATCAGTGTGGCTTCCTTGACCCTGCTACTTAAAATGACGACTCCTGTCCTTTACTTACCCTATTACCCCTCCCTGTTCTATATTTCTTACAGCACTTATCGGCATCAAACATACAATATATTTAATTACTTATTCAGTTTATAATCTGTCTCTCCCCACTAGAATGTAAGTTCCATGTAGGCAGGGACTTGTATCTTTTTATTTACAATGCTTTCCCCACTGCCTAGAATAGCACCAGGCACATATTTGTAGAATGAATGAATACATTTCAGAACCATGCAGTGAAGCCAGGAACTGTTGTGGTCACTCCACAAAGATGAGATGCGCCATCCACGTAAAATTTCGTTCAATTGTTAACAGTGAGAATACCACCCATGCAACAAAAAAGTATGAAAAGGTTTATTACTCACATAATGTGGCTTTCTGGAGAGAGTAGGGCTGGTTCCCAAGCTTGAGAGATCAGGGAAATGATAGTGGGTTGGGGGTTTATTGTGGTTTGGGGATGGGGCTGAGGTGAGCATTCACTTGCACAGGCTGGGGATTGTGTGAGTTGAATCTCCTGCTAGTGCCAAAGGAGGGAGCACCTGCACTTTCTAGCTGGTTCAGATGTAGGGCAGGAGGGGAAGGGGGAGCGGTGGGCTTGACAGCTGTCAGCAGTCAAAAATCAAAACTCAAGTCAGACTCTTCATTGAGGACCTACACCAAGTATGATTGTTTGGGGGTTGCATGTTCTCTGATTCTACCTGGGACATAGTATTTCAGATCTGCAAGGGATGTTATGACTTTAGGCAAACGGTTTTATTTTCCAGATGAAGAAGATTGGGTCCCCTTCCGCTATGTTGCTCTGTCTTTGTAGATCACAATACGAATTGGCTCTGGGGCTGGCTCTCCTATGGCAAGGCCTAGGGCTATAGAGACTTCAAAACAATCTTGCACAGTTTTTAAGATTCTAACTCCCATAACCCATCTATAAAATTCTTATTATAATATCTACTGTGTATTTTGCCAGAGTAAGAAATTCAGTGGAAGAATATTTATAAGTTGCCAGCATATGATCATGCTCTGTGAATAGTCATTGCTAGGGTCAGAATATGGTGGCCTCTAGTTAATAACTGGCCAGGTACAGTGGCTCATGCCTGTAATCTCAGCACTTTTAGAGGCCAATATGGGAGCATTGCCTGAGGCCAGGAGTTTGAGCCTGCCTGGGGAACATAGTGAGACTCTTGTCTCTACAAAAAAAAAATTGAAAAAAATTAGCTGGGCATGGTGGTGCACATGTATTGTCCCAGCTACTTGGGAGGGTGCAGCAGGAGGATCGCTTAAGCCCAGGAGTTCAAGATTGCATTGATCTATGTTGGTGCCACTGCACTCCAGCCTGGATGACAGAACAAGATCCTGTCTCTTAAAAAAATTGGTCTGGGAATATTTAAGGGAATACTTTTAAGTATAAAATAGGAAGACTATAATTACATTATTTTATACACTAACAGAAATTAGTACTATTGCTTTGTTTAGGTTTGTTTGATTTTTACTTTTTGTTAGGAAAGTTTCAAATAAACAGAAAGGTAGAAAGATCTTTGATTTATCTATTTATTTTTTTGTTGAAGTATTTGAAAGTAAATTATAGCTATAATGCCATTTTATCCCCAAATACATCAGTTTGCATCTTCTAAAAATATAAAGATTTTTCCCTATATGGTTACTGTCTTTATCACACCCAACAAAAATAGTGATTCCTTAATATCACTTAATAACAGTCCATATACAAATTGTGTTAAGGCTCCAGTGGGGTGTTTCATGAGAACTTGAGTCAAATTCCCCCTTCAAGAGCCCAAAATTCCTCACATCCCAATCCATCATGCAATTAATGATTTCCTTCTTCATGGGAAATAAATGGGATTAGCAAATTGTGACTTGTATATTTCCCAAAAGATAAATCAGGCACATTACCATAAACAAGAGAAAAGTAATGTTTGCAAAATGCCTTGAACAAGTCTCTGTCCTGTAATGATGCTTATTTGCTTTTAATTATGTATTGAAGAATGCCCATTGAACCTGTCTCAAGTGAGGTAGCAAAGTTCTCATTGGATGTCACCATCTCCCATGATTTTGGCCTACAATATGTGATAAAAGGCTTCTGCTTGTGCCCAAAGTGGCTTGCAGCAGACTCCTCTGTGTGTTATCCTCCCCAAACCAATGGAACGTGCCATGAGGGCAGTGCAGGAGCCATCCTTATCTGCTTAGGTATCTGCAATAACCTCACATTGCACAGAGGGTTGAGAAGTGGCAAGAGTAACGTGTGAGTGGTGCTTAGCTTTGTCTTGGTTGAAGGATAAAGAAAACAGTAGGGTAACCCTTTGAGTTTGCAGAATCTTAGTGACCCAAAGCTACCATATCAATACTTACTTTATTTTCAAGTTTTTAAAAATTAAGATATAACTTTTATACCTTACATAGATCTTAACTGTAAAGTTCAACCAGTGTTGACAAATACATATACCCATGAAACCCACAAATTTATCAAAGATGGAAAACATCTCCATTTCCCCAGAAAGTCCTCCAATGCTCCTTCCCAATCACCTTCTTGAGAAGCAAGCACTATTGTAATTTCTGCCACTCTAAATTAGTTTTGCCTAAGCTAGAACTGCATATAAAGTATACAGTATCTACTGTATATAGTATCTACTATTTAGTATACAGTATCTACTATTTTGTGTCCAGCTTATTTCATTCAGCATAATGTTGTGAGATTCATCCATGTTGTGTACATTATTAGTTCATTTCTTTTTATTACTGAGTTGTATCCATTGTAATCCATGATATACCATATTCTCACAACAGTTTATTTTTTCATTCTCCTGGATGGACATCTTTATAATTTTAAAAAATCAAAACCAGACATAGCCCCCAAAAGGGAACAATGCTTCATTAATGCCAGGTCCTGAACAAGAGGGTGAAAAAATGGGCTCTTATTCAGGACCTGAAGGAGAGGTAAGTGCTTGTGCACAAAATTTCATCTGCTTCTCTCAATTCCTTATTTTGCTTTGCTTGGGAATTCCCTATCAGAGAGGTTGGAGAGCTTTAAAGATTTTGACTTTTCAGTTGAGATGGTGCCAATTCTTCATAATTTTGTTTCCTACTTTAGTTCTTTATTTCAAAATACTTTTTTTTCTTTTTTTATTGTAGGCTTTGCACTTCTGGGAGGACACCCTTGTTTTCTTACCACACAAGATATTCATTTGGGTGTGAATGAAAGTCTTACAGACACGGCCCGGTTTGTAAATGTTTTCTTCTCTCCAAAGCTAATTTCAGAATCTGACAGACAAATTTCAAAAAGAAAACATTCTTCTCTTTAAATAATTGTTTTCCCTCTCATTGTTCTTTGTATTGTTATTTATTTTCCCTCTTTCCCTCTTTTCCCAATGTTCTGAATGCCTCTCTCTCATCCTCTGGCCACTTTCCATGGGTTGAGATAATTTTTTTTCTCAGCGATTTTTTGAAGAGACTTCTGATTATAAAATTTCAAACTTAGGAAAACTTAGAAATCATCAACTATGACTCTTGGATTTAATAGTTGAGGAAATGGAGGGCCAGGGAAACTGACTTGTTTGATGACTCATAACTAGTTAAGTATCAGAGTACGTAATAATATCAATAACTCACATTTATTGAGCATTCATTATGTGTCAGGCATTGTTCTAACTCATTTAATCTTTATAACAACCTAAATATATTGGCATAAAGAGGTGAAACAACTTAATTAGAAACATATAAGCTACTATAACAACACAAAATCTCTAATGTCAATGTCTTAACAAAGTGCAGACGCTCCTGATTGGTAAGAGGGAAGGACAGATTATTAAGTTATGTGGTCATTCAGGAACTCTGGCTGAGAATGGCTCTCCCATCTTCAATTTACGGCCTCTAAGGCCACTGTGGGTGGATCTCCTAGATCCAAGCAGGACCTAAGAGAAGAGAGCCTGGAGAAGGCATACTTGCTTCAAAGCCACCTTAGCAAGAAAGTGGTACAATCACTTCCACTTACATTCCATTGGTGTATTAGTAGCTCACCTCCATTTAGATAAAAGGAGAAATGGGGAAGGGCCTTTACCCACTATATTATAGTGAAAGGCTAAAACACAGGCCTCCTGACTCCCTGTACAGTGCTCTCGCCACTATATCATGTCTAGCGAAGAGATCCAGAGCAAATGTCATTGTTAAAATTTTGCCCTCAATAAAGAAGACTAATGATTTTTTTCCTGAAAATGATATGCCATAAAGTAATTCCTTGCAGACACCATCTGCTTTTTATGGCAACCACCCTAGTATATACTAAAGAATTCACCTCATTTGACTTGCTCAAGAGATTTCAAATAACTCATCTTTAAACCTTTCAGTAATGTTATTTCAGATAGGACAATGACAGTATTAAGAAGAAGTGGGATTATCCCCTGGATGCTAGGGACAAAAAGAATAAATGAACATAAATGAGTTTTTCTTTCAAATATGCTGCCACCGACTGGGATGATATTTGCTTAATAATTCTGCTTCCACAAAAGTGAAACATGCTTTATTCAAAAGAAAATATTACAAGGTAGTCAAGGGATGAAGCCAGAGACACATCAAAAAGAGAAAGTTCAGGGGGACCCTCCATAGAGGACCAGGTGAATGAGGCAAATGAATCATGTGTGAATTAGTGGTTGGAAAAGGAGTCAGTTGGAGTAACAGCTGAGCATCCAAAAAAGAGATGAGCAGTGAAGATTGGCAGCCAGAAAGAGGTTAGGGCCCAGAAAGCAGTGGACCCCCAAAGCAAGAGATAAACAGCCAAGCATGCGTTGAAAGATGAAGATAAGTATAAACGTGCTTTTTTCTGGGCTTGCTCTACTCACAATTCCCACTGCAAGTCCTTAGTTAGAGGAGCTCTAGATCCTAAGAAAAATAATCTGCTCACAAGTTCCAACATGATTGGGACTTTTTTGAGTCCATATAATTAGTCCTATTGCTACATGGATATATGGATCCCTAAAATTGGGTCCATATAATTCCTTCTGATTGTTTTATCCTATCCAAAAGATTGAATGAAAATAATAGCTATTCCTTAAAGGAGTATGGTCTACTATGGACCTCTTGTATTATTTCTACTATCTCTAAATCTTTGTAAAAATCATGCAAAGTAACTATTATTGGCCCAGTTTTATAGAAGAGGAAAGCATGGCTCAGAGACATTAAGGGAGCTTAGAGGCTAAGTCAGGATTTAAATTATGCTGTCTTTTTTTTTAAAGGCCTTGTTGTTCCAATTACCCACCTAATGCTGCTTCTATTCAGCCCATGAAAGGGGCAGTGAAATAAGTTATGGAAAGCATTGGCTTGGTTGTCATGAGGTCCCCAAGGTCACCCTGAGGTTTGATGATTCACTCGGAAGACTCACAGGACTCAGCATATAGTCATACTCATGGCTATGATTTATTACAGTGAAAGGATACCAAGCACAATTAACAAAGGGAAAAGGCAGAAGTAGGAAAGTGAAAGGAGTTTCTGCTTCATAGAGAAGGTTATAGATTAGGTATTGGACATATTACATTAAAGATTGGACCTCCAAGTGCAAATGTTTGCAAGCCATTGGAGTAAATACCCTGGGTGAAGTTGTGAGCTGGAGAAGTAGAAGCTCAGTGTTAAAAAAAAAATGAGCTCCACAGATTTATTGTGTGAGAATTGCACAAGGCTGTACCTTAAGGGAAGGTGCAATTAGGGAGGGGCAGGAGGAAATCCTTAGGGCATGAGGAGAATAAGGATAGTACAATATCAGAAGAGGCTGGGATGGGAGATGGGGGATGTCAGAAAAGTGGGTAGCTGATACAGAAATCTGACTTTCTTCTGTGTACCTCATTACTGCTTAATCTGCCAAAATATCTGACAAACAAGATATGCTGAGATTCAGAAACTCAATAAACCTAAATTGAAAAAGACACGAGAAATCCACTGCCTTCCACAGAAGAAATTGAACAGGAGAAGCAAGGAAGTGAATCTTAATGACATCTTCCCTGCCAATATGTACAGGATAGCAATTGCCTCCTTTGCTTGTGGTAGAACTTTTTAAGATGCAGAGGAATTGCATGACGTTTGCTGCTTTTGCCTTTTGTAGAAGTTTAACTATTTAAGATGCAAAAGGGTTGGATGATGTTTAAATGCAACGCTGGCCCTTTCAAATCAAGAGAATAGTGCACACCTGGCACTGATTGATGGTGTTGCTTCTCCATCTGCCTGCCTGGCTTCTTTGGGGGCCTGGTCGAATAAAAAGTGCCTGTGTGTTGGTGAAGGAAGAATCTAAGGGGGTATACAGTGAATGTAGCAACAGAAATGAAAAACAAAAAAAGAAGGAAAACTGGGCTAGTCTCTTGAAAGCTGTTAAATGCAGTTCCCAAAGTGCCACTTATTTATTTCAATGATTTAATTATTCATTTATTCAAAAATAGTTATTGAATGCCTAGTTTTTCTTCCAGACATTGTTTTTAGCACTGAGAATAAAATGCTGATCAAGTCAAACAAGATTCTTGTTGCAGTGGAAATTACATTCTGGGGCTAGGAGGCTTTTACTAAACAAATAAATAAAGCATGAATAGAAAATTAGATTGAAATAAGTGCTATAATGAAGCTAAAGCAGGGTGATTTGTTGGTGGGGTGGGGGCTGCCTTAGATTGGGTGGTCAAGGAAGGCCTCTCTGAAGAGGTGACAGTTAAGTTGAGAACTCAATGAAAAGACAGAGCCAAGCATGCAAAGCTGTGGGAAGAGCATCATAGACAGAACTGCTGGTACGAAAGCCTAAGGCAGCAACAAGCTAGATGTGTACAAGAACAGAAGGAAAGCCAGCAATATTCTAATATCTGCAAATAAGCATTTTAAATCTGAAGTTTTAAAAGTACCCTTACAGGTTGGTCCTTGGTCTCACCCATGAAAGGAAGAAAAATAAAATCAGATCAGAGAATTAAAAACCTAAATAAACATTCAAAATAAAACTTATTGTACAACAGATCTCTAGAACTTACTGGCTCATCTTCCAGAACTGAAACTTTATACCTGCTGAACAGTAACTCCCATTTCCTCCTCCCCCTAGCCCCTATCAACCACCATTGTACTCCCTCCTTCTATGAATGTGACTATTTCAGATAACTCATATAAGTGGAATCATGCAGTATTTATCCTTCTGTGACTGACATATTTCACTTAGCATAATGTTCTGCAGGTTCATATATGTTGTTGCATGTGCCAGGATTTCCTTCTTTTTAAGGCTAAATGATATTCCATTGTGTATATATGGCACATTTTATTTATCCATTCATCTATTGATGGACATTTAGGTTGTTTCCACATCTTAGCTATTATAAATAATGCTGCAAGGAACATGAAAGTGCAAATATCTCTTCTAGATCCTGATTTCAATTATTTTGGATGAATACTGAGAAGTACGATTGCTGAATCATATGGTAATTCTATGTTTAATTTTTTGAGGAACTTCCACACTGTTTTTCATAGTAGCTGTACCATTTTACATTCCCACTAATGATGCACAAGAGTTCCAATTTCTCCATATCCTCACCAATACTTATTTTCAGTCTTTTTGAAAATGGCCATCCTAACAGGTGTGAGGTGCTATCTCATTATGGTTTTCATCTACATTTCACTGATAATAAGTGATGTTAAGCACATTTTTATATACCTGTTGGCTGTTTGTAAGACTTTTTGCAGAAATGGCTATTAAATCTTTTGCCCACTTTTTAATATTTTTTTATTTTTATTTTTTTTTCACTGTTGAGTTGTAAGAGTTCCTTATATATTTTGGACATTGACTCCTTATCAAATATAAGGTTTGCAAATATTCCTTCCCATTCTGTAGGTTGCCTTTTCACTCTGTTGATTCTTTTGCTGTATAGAAGCTTTTTAGATCTCATATAAGTATTCTTACCATAATAAAATCTTTTAGAGTTAAGCAACATTTTAAAAACTAGATCATAATAAACAAGTAGTACAAAAATGTCACAATTAAAGAGATAAAAATATATTGCTCTTTTCTTCCTTGATTACAATAATAAGACCTGTTCACTGTACAAAATATTGTGGGTAAATTCTCAGCTAAGTCTGAGTTGGTTATTGTAGAATCTGAAGGTGAGTGAAGGGGAACACTGAAGCAGAGCTGTCCACTGATATTTTGGAGGAGTTGATGTGTTTAGGGCCCCCAAAATCACCCCCAGGTTCAATGATCCATTAGGAGAACTCAAA